TCTTTTCCAATCTTAATGATTCTACGATTTTATGTTTCTATGATTCAGCAAAATTGTGCAACAGCTGAGGTAAGCAAAGATTTTCTTCACGTTATGTAGTAACCAGAAATCAAAATAAAGCAACAGTCTTAGCTTCAATATGAGCACACGACTATTCGTTTGGAGCCACAGTCTCCCAATTAGCTAGTGTGCAGTTTTTACCCTTGGGCAACTGTGATTAACCATGAGAGGAAAGCTGAGCCTGAGGTTGAACACTTTTTCTAAGATCCAGCACACAGCTGCATGAAAAATAACATACTGTGTTAACAACTGAACTGTATTCTCACCTTCAGGAAAAAGGTATAAAAAATCCATACTACTCTAAAAACCTAACAGTCATTTTAATGTGGTCATTGGAAACCGCTTAAACATGTTTTGGGGAAGCCAACATCATCCAGTAAGACACATAACAAATCAATGTTCAAAGGGGGAAAAAATGCTGGAACTTTGCCATGCACACAATGGCACTGTGCCTCACCTGTCAAAATTATCCTGCTATATTAAACTCTACTGATATGTATTTCTTCATTAGAAATATACAGACCAAGCAGGTAGATTAATTCAGATACAATTAATAGAACAAAATAAATTACATGCACATACGGCTTAATTAGCTACCTCTATGTCTTTCAAAATCTATTAGACAATGAAAAAAGAGTATGACCCAAACCCGCTAATTAATTTTTCAGTATGGTGCCAGAGCGTTCTTAGTCTTCCAAATCTTCCTATTTAAAAATACTACAATTTACAGCTCTTTCTGAAACAAAAATTGTAGTTTGCAGCTGTTATTTGGTAACTCAGCTCTACTCTGTGTGTGAACTTTGAAGTCAGCAACGTTTGTATTTTACATCAATGAGTTTTCATAGAAACACACCAGAAAGTGTTGGCCAGAAGTATACAATGCTTTTTAACATCAACTGCTTCAGTCTGTGCCTATCAGTCTGCTCACAACTACAACAGCAAGGTAAAAACAGTTACTTCTGAAGTCTTAATTCTTGACAAATATTAATACTGTAATTTTAATTAAGAGAGAGCTTTACAAAAAAACCCCAAAACCAAACCAATTAAAAATTAAACTATTTTGGTCTCAATGATCCAGTGTCCATACTCTATATTTTTCATTATTCTTGTATCTCCTTCCTTTACTTTAGAGAAATTCTCTATTCTTCATCACATAAAAGTTGTCAAAAACCCAAATCTGCTTGAGCAGAAACTGTATCAGGTTTATAAACTTCATAGCATTTGGCCAAACACTGTTAGTGTCAACAACATCTCCTTACAATAAAAGATATGTAAAATGAAAAAGCAAGTAGTCTAATTTAGTTTGCACTCACTGGGATGATGAATTTAGCTATTTTAGTTCCAGCAGCAAGGGATTTTGCTGTCTCTTCCTTACTGAGTTTACTCAGGAAACTTTTTAAATTGCTGTTGCTTTGGATTAGAAAAGTGGTCAAAATTCCTCTTGCAATGGCTGTGTTATCTTCCTTTATTTTTGATGAAGGATTGTTCAAAATCCCAACTCGTGTATGACTGCTTGTTTTCTGCAAAGAAAAATACAGAATAATACACAATTATACAGTTCCATCTGCTGTTACCTAATGTATTCATATCTATTATAACTCATTGAAATGTCCTTAACTATTTTTTTTTGCAGCTATTTGTCTTTAGAAAACATACATCAATGCCTAATTCAGAACGTCAACTAGGAGTAAAAATGGTATTAGTAAGGATTTACCTATTCTGTAATACATATTTTAAAGAGAAGATTTTTTTTTGATAGAACAATTGCCTTTGAGCATTCTGCAGAAGCATTTATTTAACAAAGGACATACACAAGTGTTCATTTACAGACTTCAGAACCTGTTTTGTAGATTTTTTTTTTTATATTTTTCAGAAAATATCAAACTGATCATAAAATAAATACAAGAAAAGTTATCCACTTATCACTTCAATCTAATCAGCTTTAGGAAAATCTTTCACTTGCTAAAATCGGTGATGCTACTTAAATCTTACTGGAGAGAGGGATGATTCGAAGCTAGAATCAAATAGTGTCACTAACTGAAGAAAAGGTAAATTCTCTATTGCAATAAAGAATAGAGAAATAAGGGATAAAGTCAGTGGTATTCAATATACTTAAATGGTAAACTTTAAACTGCAGCACTTGAGAAAATTTTCTCAAAACACCTATTTGAAAAGCTTGAAAATGTGTTCTTTAAACTGCTCCTGAGAAGCATGCTCTCACTGGAAAGAAGACAAGTGACATACTAGGCTACATTAGGAGACACATGGCAAGCTGATCAAGGGAAGTTCTTATTCTCCTCTACTCAGTACTTGTGAGGCTGCACTTGGACTGCTGTGCCTGATTTTGGTAGCCCCAGTGCAGTAAAGATGTTGAGATGCTGGAGAGGTTTCAGCAAAGGCTGCCAAGATGGTCAGAGACCTACGAGGAGGCATTGAAGAAGTTGGGCTTGCTCAGTCTGGCGAAGAGGAGGCTACGGAGAACCCTAATAGCAACCAACAACTACTGAAGGGTGAGTGGAAAACAAGACAGAGCCAAACTCTTCTTGGTAGTGGTAAATAGTATAACAAGGGGTAATGGCCACAGATTTTTGGCTTGGCAGACATTAGGAAAAACTACATTAGGAAGGCAGTGCAACACCAGAGCAAATTATCAAGGGAGGGGATGGAGTCGCCTCCTTGGAAATTTTCAGGACTCCTTCAGGCAAAGGTACAGCTGACCTGATCTAATGATGGCAATAGTCCCACTCTGAGTGGGAGGCTGAACTAGATGACATCCAGAAGTCCAGCCAAGACATCTCTAATTTTTTCAAATGACTTAAAATATATTAGTAGTTTTCAAAATGATATATTATATATTAGCTGGAATAGTTAAAAGTGAGTTCCCTTTGGCCACCTCCCCTCCCAGATTCTTGCACAATTTTCTTCAAAGGCCGATGGCAAGTCACGCGCAAGAGGCATCTGTGCCAGTTCTGCACCTATAAGAAATTCTACTAGACCCTGACCCAACAGAGAAAAGGGACTAGAAAGGAGTAGAGAATCACTATAGAAATCAACGGACTTTTAAAAAAGACTATGGTTTTGTTTGTCACGAAACTCGGAAATCATTAGACCAACTAGCACAATTGGAAATGAGGCTTAACTAAATCAAATCTATGAATTAAAATGAACATAATCAATTAAACTGCTATTTCACAGAAGATCCAAACAACCTTGTTCAGAACAGCTTTTTCTAATGCTTTTCCTCGATTCTCCTCACTAACACATGGGGCCTTGCCCAGACAGTTCCCGCTTCCTAGAGTTGGGAACTATGGCATATTTTCCTCACTGAAGGGGGAAAATAGTGCAACTACAG